CCTATCTCGCGCGAAAACATGTACGGACTAAGATCCGCACTTGGTTTTGGGCCAAATTGGAGAAATTGTTTATAAAGCGCTGTATGGTGATGTAAAACTCAGTAGAGGGAAGCACAGTGCTAACTGGGGGTACATATTGTTGTGAAGCGCTGCATTTACGGTGCTACTCAGGGTTACAATGTTGTAATGTGCTGTAGAATGATAAAAGTTGAAGAAGAGGGATGTATAATGCCAATGAAGGGAGGGGGGAGAGGGGCATATAGGCGTGCGTATTCGAGGAGTTTATTCTACGATGTAAGGAGACATGGAGTCCAATAATCGACGGAACATGTTTGCTTATAATGAATCTCCCAGGCTGTTATCGGCTACCTCATAGGAAGTTTCATAGTAAGTTATCTTTTCCTAATTATTGTTTTGTCAAAACTCTTTCCCAGGGTCTTCTCTGCGTCTACATCCAAGATGACGGCTACCGACTCTGTGGGGTCTGTGGATTGGTCTGCCGCCATCTTGGATTAAGTGGACCCTGGGCGAGAGTTTGACCCATTCTCAATCAGATGATAGAAGAGGTCTTAACTTGGACATTGAAGGACTCGTTTCCAACAAAATGCACTAATTATGTCGCCGAGACTTAGAGGAAGCTGTTCCGCTTTATAACTGCAACTGTGATGAGAGGACTGAGGAGAGCAAACACTGGCACGTGAGACTTAAAAGTCGAAAGGAAAACTGAGATTTTACCAGAGATGATGTTAAGAGGACACCATCCTAAAGTGGACAAAATAAGCATGATAACAACTACCCTGAGGGAGTAAGGAGGTAAATGAGTCGTAAGAAGCCTGGGGTTGCGCAAGGATTAAGACGAATGAAAACTGAAAGAGACAGGCGGATAGTCGCATATATTGAAGCGCGCGGAAGAAAAATGTTGAGGGCGATGACCAAAGTGCGCGTAAAGATGGGATAAAGAGAAAGTGCTATGAAAAAAGGAAAGAATGAAGTGCAAATGTGAAAAGGTGCAAAAACTTGTGTGAGGAAAAAGGTGCACACATGTAACAGCATAAACACGTCCGTCGGCGTTCAAATCCGTGTGAGAATATGGAGAACGATAGACAGTGGAAGAGATACAATTGAAGAATCGACGCGCGTTGGTTAAGTGGGTGGAGGCTTGAAACATGGAATGTTAGAAAACTGTCAGTTGCATAGATAATCAACTTAGCGCGCGCCGGTCAAAACAAGCATTGAAGTTCGTATAGGATCTGTTCTCTCTGCATCTCACGTAAACCCTTAGAATATGGAGACAGACAATAAAAGTCAACGCAGTTTTTGTATTTTTTACACTATATATTTCTCCTACACAAAAAAGGAAAAAAATAAGTACACTAGCAACTGCATTAAATCTTTCAAGGCATTAAGTAAAATACCCGCTACACTGAGACACTTAAATGAACCCATTTACTCCCAAGACTGATCATAATTTAAATTCTCCTCACAAAATTAATACACCGACAGACATGGTGTCAATAACAATTAGAGAAAATCTAAACTGGAGGATAATTTTATGCTAAAAACGTGATGTTACATCGAATTCCTGGAATGAAGCAACAAAGAAACACATTCTTATCAGTTGGGAGAATTTTTCTTTTGAACTTGGGAGTTCACGAGTTAATTAATATACACTAAGGTAAATGAACAATTACCTTCAGCTGTAAATAAAAATAGCATCAAAACACTTCACACGAAATAGACTGACATTATACAAAGCATATTTAGTTGAAAATGTCCCAGCTTGTTTTTAAAATCCTACGTTACATAATATTCAACCATGTACGAGGTCAATTGCTACATTTTATACCAGCAGATACCAATGATAATTGCGAAAATCTGCAAAATTAAGATTGATTTTACAAAACGTTCTTGTAAACCAGCTGTGATACAGTATATCTTTTTTTGACCACATAACGGGTTCTAATTACAAAGCGCGCTTTGGACAACTAACTATAAATTCCTAAATCTAAAAAGACATCAGACATTTTCAAATTGTACTAAGGTAGATTTAAAGCTGTGGTACAGTATATCTTTTTTTGACCACATAACGGGTTCTAATTACAAAGCGCGCTTTGAACAACTAACTATAAATTCTTAAATCTAAAAAGACATCAGACATTTTCAAATTGTACTAAGGTAGATTTAAAGCTGTGATACGGTATATCTTTTTTTGACCACATAACGGGTTCTAATTACAAAGCGCGCTTTGAACAACTAACTATAAATTCTTAAATCTAAAAAGACATCAGACATTTTCAAATTGTACTAAGGTAGATTTAAAGCTGTGATACAGTATATCTTTTTTTGACCACATAACGGGTTCTAATTACAAAGCGCGCTTTGAACAACTAACTTTAAATTCTTAAATCTAAAAAGACATCAGACATTTTCAAATTGTACTAAGGTAGATTTAAAGCTGTGATACAGTATATCTTTTTTTGACCACATAACGGGTTCTAATTACAAAGAGCGCTTTGAACAACTATAAATTCTTAAATCTAAAAAGATATCAGACATTTTCAAATTGTACTAAGGTAGATTTAAAGCTGTGATACAGTATACCTTTTTTTGACCACATAACGGGTTCTAATTACAAAGCGAGCTTTGAACAACTATAAATTCTTAAATCTAAAAAGACATCAGACATTTTCAAATTGTACTAAGGTAGATTTAAAGCTGTGATACGGTATATCTTTTTTTGACCACATAACGGGTTCTAATTACAAAGCGCGCTTTGAACAACTAACTATAAATTCTTAAATCTAAAAAGACATCAGACATTTTCAAATTGTACTAAGGTAGATTTAAAGCTGTGATACAGTATATCTTTTTTTGACCACATAACGGGTTCTAATTACAAAGCGCGCTTTGAACAACTAACTTTAAATTCTTAAATCTAAAAAGACATCAGACATTTTCAAATTGTACTAAGGTAGATTTAAAGCTGTGATACAGTATACCTTTTTTTGACCACATAACGGGTTCTAATTACAAAGAGCGCTTTGAACAACTATAAATTCTTAAATCTAAAAAGATATCAGACATTTTCAAATTGTACTAAGGTAGATTTAAAGCTGTGATACAGTATACCTTTTTTTGACCACATAACGGGTTCTAATTACAAAGCGCGCTTTGAACAACTATAAATTCTTAAATCTAAAAAGACATCAGACATTTTCAAATTGTACTAAGGTAGATTTAAAGCTGTGATACAGTATATCTTTTTTTGACCACATAACGGGTTCTAATTACAAAGTGCGCTTTGAACAACCATAAATTCTTAAATCCAAAGACATCAGACATTTTCAAATTGTACTAAGGTAGATTTAAAGCTGTGATACAGTATATCTTTTTTTGACCACATAACGGGTTCTAATTACAAAGCGCGCTTTGAACAACTAACTATAAATTCTTAAATCTAAAAAGACATCAGACATCTTCATATTGTACTAAGGTAGATTTAAAGCAATGAAAAAAGTTTGAACGGGGAATTTTCAAAATTAAAAGTTTTCTTCTGAAGTCCTGAGCCTTTTCAAGCAAGGACTAGAGTTACATTTATTCATGAACCTTTTCACCAAAATAATTCCTATTGAGGATTACATGGCTTACTTGAACTACTTCTTTAATTAATTGGCGTAAATTTTTTTCCTACTGGAAAAAACAAGTTCCATGTCACTTACATTAAAAGTCACAGCTATGGGAACTTCAGCAACAGTGAACTGTACGTCGCTGTTTCCTTCTTTAGATTACACGGACAATTTTTAACTCTCTGTCGTGGTTCTTTAAAACGAACAGATAAGTGTTTGATAAAAAGGACTAAAATTGAAAAAAACAATTAAAAACAGGGTTTTAGCCAGTTTTCTGACTTGATGTAGGCCTGTTACCTAAGAAATTTCAACTTTTGTTTTAAGATTTGTAAGAGTCATATTATAAAAGTCAAGTGGGCTGAAAACAGTCGTAGGCCTACGGAACTAGAGGCTGGCTACACTCTTAAAAGTCAGTCTAATGTCTTTAACATATGGTCAGTAAATTCAATAACATCATCATCTCTGATGTTAACTTTTTCAAATTAAGCTTAGAATGGCAATCTTGGCACTGATAGAATTAGATTGCATTAAGATGAATTTTAAAAAAATTAAAATCATCAATATTTTTGCAAAAATTATTGCAATTTGTAACAAAGTTATTTATAATATAGAAAAATCATCCAAGGTTAATATCACATAAGACTGCAAACTTTTCAATTCAAATTTTTGAAATTAAAATTTCGCCAACCTTTTGCAAATGACGCACTGTTTCTTAGAGTATAAACGCAGTGAAGACCCTGTGGACAAGCTCCTGGTTATGTACAAGAACAAACCTTTAAATTGTTTTCCATACAGCTGATTGTAACACAGGAATAGAGCTAAGTGCCATTTTGGCGAACACGAAAACCTTGTAATCGCCTTCAACTATTGCAGGTATTCATAACAGAAGCCTTGTTACATTTCGTTCTCTTCGGAAGTATTTGAATTTATAAAGGTAAGAAAAAAAGACAATTCCACGGATCAAACTATAATGACGTAGACTATTCTTATTTCTTCACCACAGTAAAGTTACACATCTCAAGTTCTACAAAACGAAAAAGTAAAAAGTAATGAAAAATAGCCAAAAATTGCAATTTGACGTCAACATCCGGGACATCGGCCATGTGCTGTCGAAAAAGAACTAGTCTCCCTGTTTGTACTGGCATATTTTGCTCACCAAAATTTTTGAGTTGTAGTCACTCTTAACTCGAAACAGTCAGTAAGTTCTATCGTATTTCGTTTGTATTGTAATTTTACTGGCTATAGGTGTAATTTCTGTTCGTAGAAAACCTGCCTTATTGCCTAACAGGATGTTTACTCGGCTAGATTACTGGAACATTTGTGGGTTTTCATTGGAATACCTGTAGATGAATGGTTGAGTTTTCGCTTTCGAGTCTACGTTATATCTATGAAGTCAAGAGTGATGTCATCTCCAATCAGCACAAAGGGCGCCCAGTATTGGATGTCGTGGAACTTCTCTGATTCTCTGAGGCTTTTCATGGTCAGGTTCAGTGACTCGCTTGCAGGTTTACCTTCTGCAAGGTGTTGATAAAAGCATTTCATGAATTCGAGAGTAGCTTCTTCATCAATCGCCCACAGAGACACCACAACAGACCGAGCACCAGCCCCCATAAAAGCGCGCACAATCCCAACCACACCTTCAGCCTTGATCTCGCCCCGACCACTGTGGCAGCAACTGAGCACAACAAGTTTGGCGCGAAGTTGAACATTCAACACATCTCCAATTGTTAAAATGTAATCCTCCTTCTCCGTAGGCACAGTAGGTATTCGGTGTGGGTCAGGTGTAAGAGCAATTTCGCCAGTTTCCATACATCCGTGTGCCGCAAAGTGGACTAAGGAAACGGAACCGAGTCTTTCCAACACCTCACGTTTCGTGGCTTGTCTGCCAGTGATTGGCGTGATATTCAGAATTTTTCCGATCATTTCTACTTCTTCTTTAGCACACGGAAGCTGCTCGAGGGGTTTTTCTCCCTTGCTGTCAGTAACCTCGGCTACCCACGGATCTCCTACAAGTAACGCACCACTGCTTTTGTGATAATCATCTGGGCAATCGGAAATGAGTCTAAGACTTGTTAACGATGGAGCGAGTCGGATTCTGAACGATTCACACAGGTATTTAGAATTACCATCCTTCAATGCAGCGTAAGGAGCGAGCCACAAGGATCCATCGGGAATAATGAGTAGCTCATCCCCTTTAACCAGGTCAGCCACCGGCTTCATGAGGGTATCATACAAAGTGCTTAAGCCGCGTTCGTCTTGTTGGGTGGGAGGGTGAGGGTTGTCTTCTTTAGTTTTCACATCCACTTTTGAACAGCTCTCCCTCAAAGCATCCAAAGATCGATTCTCACATCTCACATTAAAAGGAACACGAATTTGTGTATAGACATCGTGTATGAACGACTCAAAGGATTGCCTAGCTCCACTATTCTCTGAAACTGAATCAGTGAGTTTACTTTGTCTTAACTGAACTTGTTTTCCTTCGGTAACAAACCAAAGATTGACGTCAGCTTTGTCCACTACCTGAAAGATAATGTCTGATGGAACGTTTTTTAAATCTGCTAAATCTTCATCGCTTCCCTTGTGCTGCCCTGTTCTACCCCAAAAACTGGATTCCATGAGGTCGGTCAGAGCTTGAGCTCGTCCTTTCTCAGCAGCAAATAAGGCTTCATGTATATTACCTTGTTTTACGAGAACGCTACACAAACCCGAATACGCATTTTGATGCTGATTTCGAAAATTAACTTTCCACTCATTTTTAGCCTTAAGAAGTACTCTCAATGAATTGTATAAGTTTACGCTCGCTCGGAAATGTTTAACGGCTTTTGGCAGTCCACCCTGCGCCTCAAAAACACAACCTAAAGAATAGTAGGCGATGGCCTCTAAGGATTGGTCTCCGACCTCTTCGGCAATTTTGAGCAATAGGCAGTATAACACGTTGGCCTTTTCCAAATCTCCCAGACATCGATAAGCATTGCCAAGATTGCCATAACTTTTACCCTCCCCATGCTTGTCTCCTATTTCTTTAACTATTTTAAGATCTAAGTTGTGGTACTCTATGGCTTTTTTGAATTCACCCAAACCGTGATAAGCATTGCCAAGATTGCCATAAGTATTACCCTCCGCATGCTTGTCTCCTACTTGTTGAGCTATTTTAAGATGTAGGTTGTGGTACTCTATGGCGTTTTGTAATTCACCCTGACTTTGATAAGCATTGCCAAGATTACCATAAGCGTGACCCTCCCCATGCTTGTCTCCTACTTCTTTAGCTATTTTAAGATCTAGGTTGTGGTACTCTATGGCTCTATTGAAATCACCCAGACTTTCATAAGCATTGCCAAGATTGCCATAAGCACGACCCTCCCCATGCTTGTCTCCTACTTCTTTACCTATTTTAAGACATAGGTTGTGGTACTCTATGGCTGTACTGAAATCACCCAGACTTTCATAAGCATTGCCAAGATTGCCATAAGCCTTACCCTCCCCATGCTTGTCTCCTACTTCTTTAGCTATTTTAAGATGTAGGTTGTGGTACTCTATGGCTTTTTTAAAATCTCCCACACCGTCATAAGCATTGCCAAGATTGCCATAAGCGCAACCTTCCCCATGTTTGTCTCCTACTTCTTTAGCTATTTTAAGATCTAAGTTGTGGTACTCTATGGCTTTTTTAAAATCTCCCAGACCTTTATAATCATTGCCAAGATTTCCATAAGCGTTACCCTCCCCATGCTTATCTCCTACTTCTTTAGCTTTTTTAAGATGTAGGTTGTGGTACTTTATGGCTTTTTTTAAATCTCCCAGACCTTTATAAGCATTGCCAAGATTGCCAAAAGCGGCACCCTCTCCATGCTTGTCTCCTAGTTCTTTAGCTTTTTTAAGATGTAGGTTGTGGCACTCTACGGATTTTTTAAAATCACCCGTTTCGTGATAAGCAATTCCAAGATTGCTTAAAGCAACACCCTCCCCACGCTTGTCTCCTATATCTTTCGCTATTTTAAGATGTAGGTTGTGGCACTCAATGGCTTTTTTGTAATCACCCAGACTGTCATAAGCAATGCCAAGATTGCCAAAAGCACAACCCTCCTCATACTTGTCTCCTCCTTCTTTAGCTATTTTAAGATCTTTGTTGTAGCACTCTATTGCTTTTTTGAGATCACCCTGTCTCAGATATAAATCGCCAAGATTGTCATAATAGTTACCCTTCCTATGCTTGTCTCCCTGATTATTGAAGTCTATGACTTTCTTGACATCACCTGAACTTGCACTACCATGGTCATGACTAATAGGATCTTTTTCCTCCATGGACTTATCTCCCGCTTCACTGACAGACTGAAGTCTTAATGACAACAAGATCCTATTGTTTTTGTCAATCTTTTTTATGTTAAGGTTTAAAATGTGCAAAGACAAAAAAGATGAGTTTTCTAATCACATTAATTTGGACGGTATATAATAGTCCATTTTTACAGTTGTGTGCTTGATTGCCAAGCCTTTGAACAGGAGTGTGGCTAAGGTGACCTTGTTATAACGCAAATATTACAGCTGCTTTTCAAATGCAAATTACACTGTTGTAATGATCACTGGAGACTGGTCTCTATCACAACATTGTTGCTTCAGCCTCACTCCAAATCAAAGGCTTGGCAACTAGCTAAGTACACAACTGTAAATTGGCCTATTAGGAGGACTTGTATGAAAGGTAGATGTTTAATCAACATTCAGTCTTAAAAAGTCAGTTATGAAGTAAATCTACATATCCCAAAAAGTTAACATGAAATATCTAGATGTAATCCCTTGTTTCCAAAATCTTGGAAGCACTTGCTCAATTTTGAAATTAATATAGCTTTAACATCAGACGAATATTTTACAGCAGTGGAAGAAATTTGTCTACAATATGAATACGTGCTTTTTAAAAGTTGCATTTATCCACAAGAAAACTTGACGAAAGTTTTCGAGTCTCTGAGTAGTGGGAAAAATATAGAGGGATTGAGGAAAATCAGCATAATATATATAAAAATTACCAAATTTCTTTGTTAGCCTCGTTTCAGAGAGATCATTTACCCACGGACCATTTACAAACTGGGTGAATATTGGTCTTTTAACTAAACTAGTGTTATGACATGGATAATATGACTAAGTCAAATTGGCTGAAAGGAGTAATATCACTAATAAGTCATGAGGTTAAATTAATTTTCCCACGTTTTTTAATCACAAACACTTAAAGTATGAGCTGACAAGTTCCCATCATAATTAATATCCTTCTATGTATTTTCTCCCTTAAAATGTCAAATTAAGTAATATTGCCATTATACCCATGGTTAAAAATGAAAGATTCCTTCAAAGGATACAGCTAAACCCTTATCGCACCAAGTGATTGCTTCTTCAAATTTCTTCAGTTCAACACAGGCAGTGGCTCCTGTAGGTAACAATACAAAGAACCGTATTTTAATTACTGTAGCTCAATTCCAAGAAGAGAACCAGAAAACATTGAAAGCTAAATATTTACAGACCAAAAAAAACCAAAAACAACAACAAAAAAAAGAAAACTAAACAAAAGGAAAAGAATAAACAGGCCCTGGTAGCTTTCAGTTAGATTGACTTTTGATAACTGAAACTTCTAAGAACATTTAAATTGGGACTGATAATTCCCACAAAATTACTAGAAGATATAGATAGAATATAAGACACGCAATGTGAAAACCGAAAAATAAAACCCACCTTTTCAAATTTTTGTAATGGTACATTTTTCAATTAACCTTTTTAAAACTAGGTTAAACTTCAACTTCAATAAAAGTACAAATTTAAATATTTTATTTAATATTAATACCAGTGTCCCCTTGGTTTTAGTTAACATATTTGTTTTACTCAATCAGTTGATAATTGCTTGCTAGGAAGAGGCTCAAACTAAGGTTTAAAGTTCACATAGAATAAGATTTCCTCATGCTGTCTGTAGTTACATCATTATTACATGTATTATGGCATTTAAAATTAAGTTGTAGTTGATGAATGAGGACATTTTCTTGACAGTTTTGAGTTAATTTAAGTCCTTATTTCTTTCCAAAACAGCTAGATAGTGACTAAACATATCTGACACTACTACCTAACTCGATGAGCTTAAGGAAACTAAAATACTTATGCTGAAATGTTGCTGTGTATTCAGCATTGAGTTCTTCATCCAACTCAAAATAAAAATCTCATGATAACGGAAATTCATGGCATAGCAGTCGAGAGCTGGATTTAAATGTACATCAGGGTGGTCTCTACCTCTTAATAAAAGTCAATTGAGACAATATTAACTTCATTATCCTAATTAGAGTGATGATTTTTTTTTTATCATTATTATAACACAGCTAACATAATGATCTAACCTCTCACAATTGCCTCAAGGAATGTTGGATTTAACTCAGTGGCTGCTTCTGCATCCCTTTGCGAATCTTGGTGATTTCCTGTAATTAATAAAAAATAAATATCTCTGATTAGCTGTACATATAGCAAACCCACCACCTTTACATTAAGTTTAGGAAAAACTTGTGGTGCTCACTGATATCTGAGGTAAGAGCTAGGTTACTTCTCTGTATGTTTGAGAGGCCCAGATAAGGCCTACGTTCAAGATTATCACCTTTTTCAGAAAACTACTACTGACAACCCTTAGCTTCAAAAGGGAAAAAAATGCATATTTTTCATCAACTTACCAAGTTTAGAATGTGCAATAGCCCTGTTGTTGTACAGTTTGGCCTTCAGTTCTTTCTCATTGCAGTTTGTTTTAATTCCTTTGGTGTAAAAATGAATAGCATTGATGAAATCTCCTCTCTCTAAGGCCTCATTACCCTTATTACTATAAACATCAGCTGTGGCTGCAAAGAATAAATAAAAAAATTAATTTGTATCATAGTTGCTGCTTTATTAATTAGTGTATAAGGAGAGCTGCCAAGATCTGGAGATTTAAAGTCTGGAGATTTTTCCTTTTGTGCAAGCTGCCACTTTTGCACCTGCCTGACTTGAGCCATAAACCTTAGATGATGTCTGCAGCCCCCCCCCTCCCCTAATTATAAGTGTAAAAGAGTCTACTGCTTTAACCACTTTTGGATAGTTAATGATTCAATAAGATCTAAATGTTGCAATTGTAAAAACCAGACATAATATTACAAATAGACAAATAGTTATTATATAAATGATAGGAATAATGATCAAGAAGATGAGATTTAAATAGTTATGGTAATGCAAATAATGTGAATGACACCCCAAAGTGCTAATAATAGTGATGAAAATTAAGCATCACTCAATTCGAAGCAAACCACTGGGCATTTAAACTTTTGGAGATCAGTTTCCTAAAATTCTTATCCCCCTAGGTAAAATACGTTCAAATGCCCCACATTAAGTTCCTATGCAAAAAGCAAAATAATTAGCAACCTGCCCCCCCCCTTTTGGCTTGGATGATGATCAAATGCTTGTGGGTTGCTTGACGAGAAGGGCAGGGATGTCGAAGCTTTTAAATGGATTGTTGCACGATAATGGAAGATTATTATGATGATGATGGTGTATTGCGCAAAATTCTAATTTCTTTGCGCATTATAATTTGATGACGTAACAGATATAATTGTTAAGATTTTCTATCGCTAGACAGTGTTATGGACACCTAGAACCAATGGGTAAATATTTACCTTGATTTCTTTTGATATTATCGATATGAACTGAAACTAATTTGTTAACGCATTACTTTACAGATTTCGAATCTTCGATCCATATCTATGGTTTTTGTCAAAACATTCATCCGTTATTCATTGTAATAAAATATCGAGGCTTGGAACCTTTGGTATATTAATGTCCTAACACACCGTCACAGATGGCATTCTATATAATGATGGAAACATATTATTTAGATCTTACATTATGATGATCAAATAAAGTCTTTATAACTTTGTGTACTTATTTTGAACCGTTGTAATAATAGACTGCAAAAATATCCTTTAAAGTGGTCATACAGTGTATCCATCTTTCTCCACACTGCTTACATTCTTAAAACTGGTGGAATAGAAATTGTTCTAACAATAACTGAAGCCGAAGTTGAACCTAGCTCACCTCGTAAAGTGTCCTCGTCAAAATTTGGTGCATTTTCTTTCTCATTTTCACATGGCACTTTAATTGGACTTCTCCCTGTAGCCATAGCAACTGTAGGATGCTTCTTACAAAGTTGCTGTTTAAAGTCAACCTGGCCTGAAAAAAAGATGGTTGCAAATTGTTATAAACATCAGCTCAACATATTACCCAGTTGCAAAGTAAAATTTTTTTTTCCTTCTGAGAATGGGAAGGATACATATACTCAGAATCCCAAGCAATTAATATTAATGGAATACTTAAAGCAGCAAAAGTACAAAAGTACTGAAGAAACAACAATTTATTTTTAAATGAACAGTAATTCACTTCTCATTATAACACATTTCAAGATTTATAATACATTTGCAATTGACTGAGATAAATTGGGCAAACATCAATATCTTTGTGTTACAAGTTCATATAATTTGTTGCAGTAGCAATTTAAATTCTTTAAACGAAGAGGCTGTAAGTAGTTAGGTAAAGTCTGTATTTGAGCAGTGGCCCATCCAGGCCCTGAGCTTCTAATCCTGGTTTCCTCACATGGAGCGACTGGGAGTAACAAACCACCTCCCTAGATGAGATGCCTGTCCATCCCAAGATTAAACCTCCCCCCTGCCCCCCTTCCTTCCCTGGCATCTCATCAGGCTTCCCTGACTAATTTTCTACTCATTTATACTCCTGGGTGGAGAGGGTCACTGTGAGAGAAAGTGTTTTGCAAAAGAACAAAACACATAGGCCCAGCCATGTTACAAATGCAGACCTCTTGACCCTGATTCCACCTCACTAATCATAAGGCCACCCTGTCTCTACAAGAGGAGAGAGTTTATGCTGAATCCTTTCTCATAAGAAACAAATCTTACAAAACTAAAGTAAAATTTTCTGACTTTCCACTCAACGCATCGGAAAGGCTATCAGAGCAAGCTCTTATTTTTTCACTCGAAGGGCAGCCGATGTAGTTTCCGAGGATTGCTTTACTATGATGACCGCAGATCGCCATGATGAGCGAGCCGCGATGCACTTCAGCATGATCATATTCGCTCAGACACCGTCATGATTAGTATCAATTTTAACAGTTATGCCAGTTTAGTTATATTTTGGTCATCATTTCTGTTTTGTTCTGCTTTGTTTTTGAACACTGAAAGGTATATACCATACGAATGTTAGCTGTGTTGGATTTTTATTACCGTACGTAAGCTTGCAATCTAACTGAGCGTGAAAATCTTTACAACTCGGAATGTCTATTTTGTTTTTCCTTTGAGGATTTTGGTATCTGCTCACGTTTTAATAACGTAAATTACGGCGCCTGGGATGTTTACAAACCTTGACAGCTTTAGCTCAGCTCCATGCTCTATACTCTCATAGAGCACGCTCTTTTAACCAATGACAGCGCGCTTTGCTTAATGCTCAAGCACGCCATTTCAATCTGTCGCTGCCTCAAGGTAGCTCTTCTAGCGCTCTTTGTATTATCGAGCCACGAAAAACGCTAGAAGTAGACTTAACACACCTACAAAAAACTGGAACGGCTTAGTTGAGTTATTCCTTGGCGATTCATAGTTATGTTTTCAAAATTTCGAGACCATTACGCGATGTCAAATTCACAATAAACTTTGCGCATGGAGACAAGTTAATCGGTAGATTTTTCTACATAGTACTGGGTTTTTTGAACAAAAACTTACGTCTCCCTTGTAGCAGCATTACCCAAATCCATTTTTGATAAAGGAGCAGCGATAAAGCGAAAATCTCTCACTAAAATGGTTTTTTTGAACGTCGGAACAACCGTTTCCCATACGTTTCTTTCTGGTGAGTTGCATTGTTTGCCACGTGGCGATCCCAGAAATCAGTGCGTAAAAACAAGGATCCGATTACTGGCAACTCTTTCACTGATTAGTCTTTGATGCTAACTTTACCGATAATTCTCCAGATAATCAAGACTGGTTGTTTTCCAAATATCATATAATCCTTGCTTGCTGTCTTCATGTATAAAGATTTCAATAAATGTAGAATTTAACAAGGAAATGAATTGCTCTGGAATTCAAAATAGCCATTTTTGCAAAAGTCAGTACTAACTTCTAACTAACTGATTGAGCTTTACTTTGAATTTTCAGGCTTCCACGTAAAAAATTCGTGTGTAATGATTGTCTTTATGGTGCGATAATGGTCTATGCGGCAAAATCCTGACCAAGTTGGAGCCAATCAGAACTCTAAAATTTACCCCAAGATTACTTTACCGACCTTTTATGACCAAAAAATCAGCCCAAAAAATCACCCTCGACTTATACACGAGTCATTAACACAAAGACCTGATCCAAGCAATGCAATAAATTAGCATAACAATTGCCTGAAGTCCGTTAGGAGAACTGAGTTTATAAAACCAGTTCGAATTGTGTTCGAGTTTCGTCACTTTTCAGCTCATTCTTCGTCCAAAAAGTTTGAAATAATAAATTTTGCGTGGCTCAACACAAAATTACTGGAGCTGATTTCCATTGTGTCTTCGGACTGTAGAGCAGACATTTTTTCTGATAGCTTCGCCGTTGTTTACAGTGCTGAAGTTTCGATTTCATCGAACGATTACAGTAGCTTAGTAATCTGGCTAATGCCGTTGTCTCGCGCGGTCTTGCTTATTACGCGCGAACCTTCGAAGCTATTCGGTGTTTCTTCGGTTTACTTAATCTACTTACAAACTCAACATTAAGATGAAGGTTAGTTAAATGCAAGAAGATCTTATTTTCAATGTTATTTACAAAATATGGTAAAATACTTCTACAATAAATCGAAGTGTTCGTGTGTGCTTAAATCATGGTTACATAAACAAGTGTTGATAAATTTCAAAGCACACAGTTACATTTTACTCTGCAGTTTTTTTAATTCCCCGTGTTTTCAGTACATTGCTTGAAATAAGAGATTAACTTTTGGGAAATTTCTATCTGTCTGAATTTTACTTCTTTGACTAGAAATGATGAAAAATCCGAGTTTTGAACTTAAAAATGGAGGGTCGACTTGTACACGAGTTTGACTTATACACGAGTAAATATTGTAATCACCAGACACATACTTAGATGCAAGCGGCCACATGCAGAATTTAACCAGTTTTGATAAAAATATCGATCAGAAACATTTAGATGATGTGATTATTGATTGATCATATATCGATTAGAAGATGACAAAAGGTAAAACTCTACTCAGACACCAATCAATCATTACCAGTTGATGAATTGGATGCCTAAAAATCGAATGCAGTTAATTGAGAGGACGCTTGCAATAAATCTCTAGCTGACATTTGAAGAAAAATCAACTTGTCTTAATATTTAACAACGAAATCAGTATAACAGTACAGTTTGGAGGGAGAATCTACGCAGTCTATCAAAAAGAAAAAAATTACTTTCACACGATAAAATAATAAACGTAAACGCATGAAACACGCTGGAAATGTTTATCGGTTTTAGATCAAATGCATCGTAAATACGGGAGCAAATTAAGTTAATACATATATAAACCCGACATGAAAGCTAGACAGTGCAAAACACAATTGTGTGCATGCTTCACATGACACGCAAATGAAACTGAAAGTATTTCGATCCTCATCGCTTGCACTAGATCAAATCGATAATTGGAGATTCATTTTAACTCTCCCGAATTACTTATTTTGTCCATGGTAAATGCGAATTTTTTTTCAGTGGTGTTGGATAATGCGGTTAGAATACGTGATAAAATGCAGGTTGTTTACAAGGAAATGGAATGTGATGGAGCGAAGTCTAATGTGAAAAATGGAATTTGATTGGTAGAATTCAATTCAAGCAAGTGAAAAATTGCCTATTGTTTGATTGGGTTTGCTCTGATTGGACTTTCGACGTTGGTGCATGATATCCAAATGCTGTGATATGATTGGTGTGATGTACATACCCTAATGCGGCAATCCGATTGGTGCGAGATACATACCCTCATGCGGCGATGTGATTGGTGCGAGCAACATACCACTCTACACGCTAACATTGAGTATTTTTTTTAATTAAAAAAATAAAACAAAATGTTGTCTACTTACATGGATGTTAATTTCAATAAAATTTTTGACACGTCAAAATTTCAACAGCCGTATTCACAGTATCCATATCCATTACTCATCGTCATAAACAGGTGTTCAAGCGCTGGGGCAGTTCTAAGGAACACTATTTCTAGTTTAACTACGAGACCCTTGGACGTAACTTTGTCACAGTTTAACCTTCATTGTCTCGAGCAATAATCAACGACTAGAACCTTTCGGAGTTAAGTAAGCAGTTCCTTGACAAGGTGGTGCATTAACTGACCTGTTCAGCAAAGTATACCGCTAATTTCATTCAAGGGAACAAAGAAGAGGTAACTTGGGCGGTAAAAGCCAATCAGATCGTAGAATAAATATCTCTACAAAAGCTGTGCCAAGAATGCAAACTATTACCTACCTGGAGGCTTATCAAGGTTGTTCAGTTCTTGCTCTTGATCTTTTCCACCACAATTACGTTCTCTACGGGTGTTTTCCGTTTTCATCATGATAAAGGGACCAGCCACACTCTCTACATTGTCTCCACACAGGAGCTCTTTCGTTATACCGGCTATAGGCCCTTGCATTTGGCGTGAAGCACTGCTGTTATTCCCAACTTCAGAACCCCTTTCAGAAGAATTTGGAGTCTCTCCAACAATAGTTGTAACGGCAGAAGTGGCATTATAGTCATTGGCAGGACTGGCTCCTTCTTGGTTGTAACCTGACCAGTAGAATATCATTTCATTCAAAAGAACAAAGGAAACGTGGCTTGACTGATTAGAGTCAATCACATTGATGAGCGTAAACAATTACTTACCCAGAGGCTTTTCAAGGTCGTCCTGTTCTTTCTTTTGATCTGTTTTATTACAACACCGCTTCCAAAAGGTGTTTTTTGTTGTCGTTTGGATATAGGGATCCATCAAAGTCCCAGTATTGATTTCGCATGGGAGCACTTTGGTCATACTGTCTGTGGGCTCTCGGTTTTGGCGTTCGGCACTGCTGTTTGCTCCATCTTCAGAGCTTAATTCGATAGCATTTGAAGTTTGTCCAGCGACAGTCATAACAGCAATAGTGACAAAATGGTCCTCTGCAGGTTCAGCTCCTTCTTGGTTTGGGTGCAATGCAACATTTGTAACAGCGTCTGGAATAAACACAATTACCTCCAGATTGTGACGGAATTTACAATCTCTAACAGAGAAAAGTTTCATGATTAGGAGAAAGTTTGCTCTCTTTGTCAACTTCAAGCTGAGATGCCATTTCTTACCGTGGACATTTTCAAGAAGCTGTTGTTTTTCGGGACCATTTCTCTTCTGTACAGGCCTGTAGCAATTGCTAGGAAAACTAGCTGCAGAGCGTACCATGCGTAGCGAAGCCGGGCACAAAGGACTCTATGCTTTTTTTTTTTTTTTTTTTTTTTTTTTTGCATCTTTAATAAAAAATCGAAGGAAAACGTTATTTTAGCATCAAAATATTTCATTTCTATTCTATTTCAATCTGACTTCATCATGGCTTTTTCCCAAATATCAATCTTCCAAATATCCGGATATATTTTTATCTATATAATGGCGATAAGAAAACATCACTCGTTTTGTTACAATTTCTTTCCGTTTCTCTACTTAATTGCAATGTGTATCATAAAGTGAAATAAATATGCAGGTTTGAAAAATTCAGAACAACGTTTATACATATTTTATTTATAAACCATAACATCAAGTCCATTTTTAAAAATCCGGTGTGATACAGAGACAACGTATTTAAGAGAATGTATCTGAAGTCATAGTATTATTGAATTGCAAGTAGAAGTAGAAGCTCACATTTTGATTCAATGCACTCATCCTCATTTGAAAATTCACTGGTAGACGGTGACTGACAAATTGATGTCTCATCGTCCGCGAAGTAGCTGCTTTGATCGTCATCCAAACCCTGGGATTCATCAGTGCCTGTTGTAACCAGAAGAAAATCAAAGTGCTCTGTGAACAAACTCGTGAATTAACTGATGCCTTACATGATTTTTTGGATTATGTTTAAAGTCATCTGGTTTAGGGAATTTTGTGGTTGATTGTCATATTTAGAGTACGAGCAGTAGTTCAGTGTTTGCTAATGTAGCAAAGAAACAAAGTAACATTGGGATAAGAAGGCATTACAATTGAAATGATCATGCTATTACATCTGACAGGAGTGGATGATGTTATATGTTTTAAACATATACCATTTTTGTTTCTGGTTCAAAAGAAAAGGTTGGAAGTAAATGTGGGTGAAAAGTCTATCATTGTAAATACTGAAAAATCAACGCAATACTGTCTAAATGGAAACATTAATGATTCCCTCTTCATCAAATGAGACAAACGGGAACGAGTTTTGAGTGATATGGCTAAGCCCAGACTGCCACCTTCATTTTGGATTTCCGCATGGGTAGATTTTGGTCACGTGCTAGGCAACGTATAATCAAGAACAAGATAGAATTTCATTTCAGGCCTATTTATCAATTTCGTGGTGTACAACTTTCACATTTTAGTACGTAATATTTATTTTGAATATTCAAATCGTCTTGAAAGTTAAAAGAAAGTTGTTCTTTAAAAATTCAGCGAAAATCGGTAGCCAAAATTATTTGTTTAGGTGTTATTTGATTTTCGTGTTAACCTGTAATTTCGTCAGTCGCCGGCACCTTTAGTGGCTTCACACAGAAAAAAACACACGATTCGAAATGTAATGATCGATTTTGTCCCCAATCTCATGCCATAACAGAAAAAGCTTTTGAACACCTACAAACTCCGAGCGCTTCGGAGTAAGTGATATTTCTAATGAATCTTCGGATTGTTTTCAAGTTCAAGGATTGTAAATTACAATTTTATGAAAAACGAAGGTTGTTCTTTTATTTCAGTGTGAATCCTCGCACGCCTGCCAGTCGCTAGCGCCGCTTGTTTAAATTAAAACGAAAAAAAAAACTCTTTTAAGATTGTCATTGCCTTCTTTTTTACCGCACCACTATTCTTAGCAACAAAGGTCGCCATTTCGTTTGTTTATTACTCGCCAAAAACTATCAAATGCGCTCAAAGCCTAAAATAGAAAAAAAGTTTACAGGAATCGACCAATCGAGCGAGCGAGCGAGTGCCATTCTCCATATCATAACTACAACTCGCTCTTGCGCATGCGCGAAGTTTACGAGTTAAAAATCGGCATTTCAGGCCAACTGACTCTTGACTCAAAAAGTGAGTAAAGTTTAGGTGATAATTCGAAATATTTCAAAAAAATTACAGAAAACATTAGTTAAAATCTCAAGTGCAATGGTACAATAAACTTACTTTTTAGCCAAAGTAAAACTCTTGGGAACAATTTAGTTTGAATTGGATATAATTTGAAACAAATTATAAAAACCACATCACAATCAAAACTGACGAATCTTTTGAAACATATGACGAAATAGGGAAAACAGCCATCGTATTGTGTACTCTCAGCGAGAGGTCCCAAACATTATTGCCCTAAAAAAAAAAACAAACAAAAGCATACGAAACAGCTGACGCGAGTAAAATAAAATAATCAGCGCCCTAAAATACTTACAGCAGATATCCTTCCTGGCAGTCGCACGCTTGAGTTCTACCCAATCAATAGTTACAGTCTGAACATTACAAACGATTTCTTCTGACAACCTGCGACGCGACAAGAAATTAATTCAGTAATGCAGCCACTTCAACCCAAATTACCAAGGATGAAATCAATTCAAATCATTCCTCAACAAATAATCAGCGCTCTAAAATACTTTGACCACTTACAATGACATTTTGGACAGTTGTTTTATATTTTCACCCCTAGACTTACGGTATTCCCATGGACTAAGGGAGTTGCACGGCGAAAATCTAGTCGTTTATATTGGACAACCCTTCCGCCACGGACTCCAGAATGAAAGGTTCAAGTTTGAAACCTTCCCGGGTTGATGTGTAATACTCTTGGGAAGTAAACTGCACAGTGCCTCTGTCCACCCAGAGGTATGTATTGGCACGACCTAACTCAAGGAGATCCCGAGGGAACACCTAAGGGTTACCTGCTGGAGCAGCAAAATCTTCAATCAATCCCTTGTAAGGAAACCGGGATACAATTTGGCACTCATGTTGCTCAGTCTTGAATGCAGATTTTACCCACGTATAACTAATAGAATCAACACCTTTTGTGAACATTTTGAAGGTATTCTGCTAAGTTTTGATGTCCCCTAGCTCTGGCAATGTCTTCTGGCAAGATGGAGCTGTTCCTGTACGTTTGAAAGACTGCTTCTCCAGCTGAAGTACTGAAGATTACTTCAATACATTCGCGATCATTTGTTGCAGCCGCTGCGAATAGTATACACTGTAGAGCTTTCAGTGACAATATGTCCTCGCTCGCATCTGCCATCAATGGTCTATCCACCATAGAAGAGAGGGAAGACGGACTGCACACTATCAAAATAATAAAAAAATTTATGCAAACATGGCAATTGTTCAGGATCAAACTTCTTAGCCAATCACATGACACGCTGAAAACGCCATTAACATTGTAAAGTACCTTCTGTCCTTAAAAGTTCTGAAGCTAGAGCCACGTGTTCACAACCCATAATCCTCCACTTTACTGCGAAGAAGGGCTACAACTCCAAACGCCAGCTTCCGAAAATTTTTACAGTGGCGTATCTAACTTAATCGACTTCTAGATGTTAATCAAATGATTGTCGTCACAAAGTAAGATGGCATATGCTGTACACAAGTTAAGGAACAAACAGAGATTCTGACCTGTTCTTGCTGAACGGGAAGGATTTAATGTCTGGTTGTCCAGTGGTATGTTTCTCTTTGTGTGAGGCATTTTACTAATCAGTTCTTGGAGGTCTTGAATAATATTCGGATGGTATTCGAATTCCGTTTTATCGGGCGAGTTCCACGAACCGTCTAGAGAACCCACGGTAACGGCAACCTTCCCAGGATTTTTAGAGGCTGAAATGAAAAATCAGTAGGTAGCTTTCAGGTCACGGTTCCTTAACCTCAGAATTGCAAGTAAATCTGAGAAAAACGTCACTGTGAGGACAAAACAGCGCGGGTTTGACGAATTTATTTGTTTACTCGATTTCATTTTTGTTGGGTGAACTTTTGTCCCTTTTTTGATCATCTTTCTTGAAAGAGCTGTATGCGAAAAGGATTACTGATAATGATGCTTTGTCCCTCTAATTACAACATTGGCTTTCATCAGGCACAATTTTGAATTTCCGGCCGTTTACCCGCACGGCCGATTACCCGCACTGGTGGATAACCCGCACGTTATGTCATTCAACTTTATTATTTCAACATTAAGGTGATACATTTCAGTCTTTTAAAAGTTGTCTGATCTGACTTTCGAAAACTTGAAAGCGTCTTTGTCGAGTCTAAAGGTCAAAGAAATTCAGACGCGTGCACAATTCTGTGTCAATGTTAGCATGAATTTTATTGATAAAATTATACAGTAAAGACACTAGCAGCCCATGCCCAAATCTCAACGTTTCAAACTTGACAAAATACGAATTTGTGGGCACATTTTGTGCGAGCGATCGTTCAGCGTCATGTTGATTTGTTGAAAGAAAGCAGGGTGAGTGTTAAAACTTGAACTGTAAAGTACTGTCGGCGATTTCTGAAAAAAATAGATATCTCTGGTTCTATTGGGCCTAACAAGTCCTTTGAAACCGGAAAATTCTCTTTAGCTCAAGCTAGTGTTAAATGGAAATTTGTTACTGATGCGCCGGATATCTTTGGATTATTTTTGTCACCATCAACGTTTTGTTTTCACGCGTGCCGATAGCAATTTGTTCGTCACGCAACTAATTATGCGTGAAATAAACTTGAGTCGGCATCATGTTTCGTGCCGCTTTGTGGCACTCTTAATACAATAAAAATCAATTGAGAGGTGGAAACGCATGTTGGTGATAATTCTTTTCAATTTAACTACTAGTAGATTTTAAAATTGTCACATAACCAGCACCTCCCTACTACCCGCAGTGGCGCGCGTTTAATGCAAAATTAACAGATTATCCGCGGGTAAACGGCCGGAAATTACGGTAGCCTGCTGATGTACTCTGACACCAAAATGTAACACAAATTTCAGATATAATCAAAACTATAACAAAATTCTTGAATGTGATTGGCTATCACCAGCCCGATTTGAGCACTATAAGACATTGTACGTGTCACACTTGTAATTGGACAGTGTAATAGGACAGTTAAAGGGACATGAAACACGTCATGTCTGTGTAAAATGGGCAGAACGCGTCATGTGCGCGCGTTGTTGTCTCGCATTTCGACGAGTGAACTGTTTCTTTTACTGAAAACGAACAATCGATGTCTAGTTTCTTTCTCAATTTTTTTCATAGTTTTGATTAATTGGTAACAGAACTTCGTAATTAACAAGTTGGTCTCCTGCTTCGCGGTCGTCCAATTTTCGTAATCTTTCATATGATTACAGACTGAATTGAACTCCACTCAATCCCATTACCATTATAAATCAACATACCTGGACTAAGCCCAGTGTAGGCACTTTCAATAAATGGTGTCAAGTCTGCAACTCCAACCCCCTTGAATATAGCCCTCAATGATGAGAGATTTTCTGGAATACCATTCACATTGACGAAAATAACAAACTCTGTACCACCCTATTCAGCGATAAAGATCAACATAATACGAAAAATAAGTAGGGTGAACAATCGAAAAAAAAAGCAGAATACCGTGATGTGTCGGAAAAAAAGTTTCAATTGCCTACTGCGAGCCACGAAAAGAGTCCAAAGGTGTATGTAAAGGCTATTTTCACTAGCTTATTTCAAATCACAGCAAGGAAATTTAAGTCATTGTAGGTGATTCTTTCTTTGAAAGCAAGTATGCACTTTAGTTACCAGGTCTTCTTTAGGATCCTTGCCTTTTCTGCCTAAGCAACTGGCGAGTCAAATTCTTATTTTTTCTTAGTTATGAATTTAAAAAATTATGAGAAAAAAAATGACAAATACCGTAACGGGGCCTTCTTTGGGGATAATTTTTTGTTCCACTGCAATCATGCAAGGAAGAGAAATAAGTTAAAGGAAATATAAATTTTCGTCACCTTGAATGCTGATAAAAAAAAAAAAAGAAACACTAATATCACATTACTAGCTAACATGAATTTAATAACTTTTGGTAGAGCCAAAATATTTGGGGCACTGAACAGGAGGGATAAATTTCTGGTTGATTCAACATGATCCCCTTCCCTGACACACAATGTTCACTTAATCCAGCCACAGGCGACAGGTTAAATGGAAATGAGTTAACCTTACAATTGTTTTGGGGGTGTGAGGGGAGCACAAACACTGATATAGAGGGGAATTTTAAGAAAAAGATAAAGCCTCCAAGCTTAGGATCCGTCTGCTTTAGCCTCCAAATCAATTATTACTCTTCCTTTGAGCCATCAAGTTGAGATAACAGAGATTTACAAACATCATGTTCTTTTCATTTTATGGCTTATTACAGAAACAAAAGATAACAATAACTACCCGGCAAGGGGATTCCCAGGTCTTGATAGATCTCGTTCAATTCTCTATCAGACAAGCAAATCTGTTCAGGAAACAAGATAAAAAGAAAATGGTACAATGATAAGCATAATAATATAATCACTCTTCTGAAGTAATATGTCTATGATTACAGGCTTAAAAACTGAACTCTACTTCTAAGTCATATGTAAATATCACATAATTGATAAGAAATTTAGCTTAAACATTTACCATACCTGATCACCAGTGGCAACCCTGTGTAAACTGATTTCTATGAAATGATCAAATAAAAAAAGAAAGTTGTGCCATACAATTAGCTTATAAATAACCTTTAAGCTCTGTATATTGTATTGATAAGAATTTAGACAATATCTGGTGCAGAGCTGGTTGAGCAACTTTGATCCCCTTAATGACTTTTTAAATTTCCCATAACCCATAAGAAATTCCATCAACAGAATGCAAAAGCTCCTGAGAATTGTATGACAAGCAAGCTAGCACTCTATAAAAGCAGGTAATTAACTTAGGTAGGGTAACTTCAGAAGTTAAGAAATGCAAAAGTTTTCTTTTGCCCATAAATTGTTCTTATAATCTGCTCTTTTAAGGTAAAACCTTTTCTTTAAGTACACCCAAGGGGCTATACAGCAACCAAAATTAGAGGCAAACCATGAAGAGTACTTACTAAATATGAAAACATTCTATTGCTTGTCTACAATAATTTTCTTTAGGAAAAAAGCACTTTTTTCAGAATAATCATCAATAATTTTAAAACTTGATTCCCTGGCTAAAATTTCTGAATATGCTAATGTGTTACTTTTAAAGGAAAATATTGCTCTGAAATTGTGCAGTTTACAGAAATGATGGTGACTTTCAGGTAAACAGTATAGACACAATTATTAGGCGATGTGAAACACATTGCACATGGTTGCATTTAAAAATTAATAAATAAAAAGATTTTTAGCTTACCATCCAAGCTTGATCCTTCTGTGGGGCTACAGGTAATTTATGCAGATCAACAGTTTCAGCAAATTTTCAACCAAAAAAGGCAGTACTGGTTTAATTAACGTTCTCTACAGTTACCACCAATACTTGCACAGGGTTGCATGTGATCAATTCAAAAGCATGATGCGAAGCATGATGTCAAGATTTGGCTTTTAAAATATCTCAAATAGTAATCAAGGGTTAGGATAAACAATAAAGGTTGCACTGTATATATATTTTTGGTGCAGTCAGGTAAACAAAATTGATCTCTTATACCCCATAATTATTTTTATGTTAAATTGATAACATGACAATTTGTTTTACATTTGTGAACAGTTCAATATGTCCAATTTTAGCATAGATAATTTTTGAGGCTTCATGTCATTGATACAAAAGGTTTGGTTGTGATGCATCAATTGGTTTGAAGCTTCAAAATCCCCATTAAGTAATACCTTAGGCATTTTAACTCTTGAAGATTGTTTCAAATTCCCAACCCCCTGGGCAAAAGAAGTGTTCAAATGACCCACCCCACTTTTTTGGTAAAAGGCAAAATCATGCAGCAACAAGGACCTTCAGCACATTAACCAAGATTTAAAATTACTCCTTAAAGACCTTTATCTTCCTTGCCATTTATTCTCAAAAGTGAACTATTTGCCTATAAAACCATCTCCATATTTCAAGCAATAACACTTAATTCAGCTAGAAAGACTTGACACTTCTGGCTCAAATTCCTCATCCCAGCTGTGCAACTTATTATGTTCAAATCCACCACCCTCTGGGCACTGAAGACAGTAAAAAGTCTGTGGGTTGCCCATAAGGGGGAAGATGTTGAGGTTTCATATTGATCTGTACATAACAGCTGTACAATTAAGTTTGATTCCTTTGAGAAGCAAGAAACAAAAAGAAATTTGACTTACTCTATTTGAGAATCTTTCAAATAATCTACAAGATCTCTAATGTGACTACTAGCTGCTTCCTCAGTTTTTCCTAAGTAATGCACAAAGCAAGAAACACCATTTAAGAATGTACACCAGCTATCATCATCAAGTACTCATTAGATAAAATATTTAAAGAGCAGCTTTAGTCAATTAATCTTCAAAAAGGAAGGGTACTATCTGACAAATAAAAGTAAACAACATGATACAATCAATAACCTTAAAAAAAGCAAAAGTAACAATGAAAAAACTCCAATCTTACTGTAGTCTGCATAGAAGGCACCAGTCATATCATGCTTTAATTACTCACAGTTATGAACACTACTTTATAAGTAGAAATGAAAATGAGGCCGGAAAAAATTTAAGGCCTGTGTGGGATTTTAGCCCATGACCCATACCCTCTGTGATACTGGTGCAAGTGTCGCAGAGGTCATGGTTTCAAATCCTGTACAGGACTCAATTTTTTTCAGGCCTCATTTAAATACTACTGTTATGGTATAATCTAAACAACAGAATAACTTTACAATCCCACAAACTCAACTACTTTTATTAGTACACAGCACGTAATTAATGTTCTTAACATTAGGAGCGACTCCAAGAAGCAGTACAATCCTTATTGCTAATAAACTTAATTAAGCCCACCAGTTTTTTTCACAGTTTCCTCCAACGCTTCTTGAATTAGCAATCTTCCTCAGACTTAATAGTTCTCTCTCATGATATTTGTTGTTGTTTTTGGGAGTGACTGACTGTTTAGAAAGCTTTCTAAACAGTCAGTCACTCCCAAAAACAACAACAACTCTTACCACTACATAAGTGAGTCTTTATATATTTTCACAAAGTGTTCTGAAACCTTCCAGGGTACTTATTACATGATATATGCATGACTTGATGAAATGTTCTACAATGTTCCATGATATACATGTGTAGCAAATGCACCGTCAAATTTCAAAATGGTTAAATTTATTCATAACCATTGGTTTCTGAAACATGATTAAATTAAATCACACCACAGCCAACTACTGACAACAATAATTACAATCACAAAGGAAACATCAAACAGCAAAAGACAATGCAAAATGTACCTGGTGGTTTTGATAGAAGGAGTACACGAGATGCAGCAAAGAAATGATCATAGCACAACAAACTGCATAACATTACTGTTCTTTACGCGCCAAAATTTCAATATATGGCAGATGCAAGGGGACTGAAGTCTAATTTGCAGATAAACCACTGGCCCTTAAATTTATTGTAACAGCATGTCAGCATGAGTAAATATTCTGGTGATTTCTAAAAGCTTCTATTTATAAATTTCAAAGAATTATTCATCACACGACTTAAGTAGTGTTCAAAACTGTGAGGGTCACTTCCATAGTTGGATTTCAGTTAGTAACAATTTAGTACAAGATGACATTTAGGACTTTCTGCTTAACAATTTGGAGCTTTTGTTGTCATAATTATGATGATTTTTCTAGGAAAATTGGTACTGAACAGATCTGAGATCAATTTTTCCTCCCTAAGTTGTCATTTACCCCTTTTTTCTTAAATTGAGCAATGACAGGTATTCAAATGAAATTGATACCGCTACAACAACAGCCATTAACTACATTTTACCTATTGAATGCTCAGTGTTGTCATCAACACCAGATGCATCCCCAGAAGTGGATTCATACGCAGAGTCCAAGGAGCTATTATTGTCAACAGATCTCCTAACCTGTAAGTACAGAGAAAGCACAAAAGTAAACTACTATTAATACATGCAACAAAAAAATTACACAGGAACTACCCGTACAAAATGACTTGCTAAACAAGAACCTGAATATGGCCAGACATTTGATTTATTTTCAACATTCAACTATTATTTTCAACATAATTTTCAAGTTTTATTTTCATCATTCATTTTTTCTGTTAAACATAATGTTAACAATTTAAAAATGAACTTTTCAGAACAAAAGCCCCTCTTTGCCTTAAACTCATACCTTATTGAAATCAATCCAAGTTCAAACATTAATTTTTTTCTTCAAAACTCAACTATTTGTTTCAGCAATTAAGTCTTTGCACCAACATTCAATTCTTCATTTGAACATTCAAGATGTCCATGGGCATTAATTAAAATTCTTTGCTCAAATTTTGAGTATTGAATTAAAAATTCAAGCTTTGATTTGAACTTCACACTTAGCTGACTCAGTCACACCTACCAAAAGTCATACAAGCTCACTGCAAGCCTAACCAGCATGCTTTGCTAGTGTACATGGCATGATGTGTTGTAAGGGGAACAACAGAATTACTTAACATGGATGTACAAATTGAGTAGTACTTGAACCTAAATATTCAGTTTGAACATAAACATTGGGAGTCATGCTAAATGTATTTTGAGTAATAGAAGTATTTTGAGTATGATGCAGCATATGCAGCACCATGTGGCATCCCAGAGCAATTGCTACATGGTGCTCCATCTTCAAGGTTGATTGCAGCGTAAAAATCACATATTATGGCTGCCCACTGCTTCTAACATTTGAATTTTGGCAGGGATTTAATGCCATCATAGTTTTAGAATGCTGAGTGTCAGGCATACAGATCCTTCATTGCGCTTGATACTATTTGTTTCCAATTGGCAGGGAGAGAGTAAAACATATACTTATATCTATACCCTTTGAAACTGCCATCAGTGACCAAGCCTAAACTTCTCCTTACAGTATCAATTAAATAACAAGCAGACAAGTGATTGAAAAAAGATTTTACATTTCGTAAAAGTATACAGGCATGCAGATTGGAGTAAACTTGGATAATGTTGCAAAGTCTGAGAGACATATTTTGTAGAATGGCAGAGGAGAATTTATATTCGTAGAACTTTAAGAACAGAAATTACTGTAGTGTGATGATTCTACCACTCCCTTTAAAGAAAAAAAGTTTAATATGCAGTTCTTTCATGAATTTTATCTTCATTTAATAATTGCTGGAAACAATGTGTCGATAAAGTAGAATCTATAGATCAGGTATTTTAAACCACCATCTTCTGTCTTGTTTATAGTCAAAAAGACTTGAGCAATTTTTTAGGTCTTAACAAAAATGATTCAAGCTTGCTTTTTTCCAAATTGCGCTTGAATTCATGCTAATACCTGCACATACACTGATAAAATAAACAACAACTGAAATCATCATCAAAAGTACCTTAATAACTTCTTGGGAGTCCTTAGAGTGATCTTCCCCAGAACTTTGTTTCAAACCTGGATGTTAGGTGTTACAGACAAGAAAGAGTCTATCAAAGAGTCTGTGAAGTTGTAATTTCCTGAACTTAAAACATCTTTGATTATTAAAAAGAAGTGAATTAAGCAGTAAATTTTTGACATAGTTGTACCAAACTGGTTAATTTATTCATTGTAGGGGAAATCAGAAAATCATTTTGTTCCTCATGAAAACGAGTAAAATTTAGGCATGGTTAAAAACAAATAATGCAGAGGTTGGAATTCCCATTAAAAGCTCAGTTTACTCGATTTGCTTGGCTAATTTTTTTTGCTTTGTGTTCCTTCCACCCAACCGGTGGCTAACCACAATCTTAACTCCTTCCCCACCACTTTTAGGTAAGTTTTCACTAAACTCACCAATTTGTGGGTTTTGTGTTTGTTGAATAGTACCTGAATTGAAAAGTAGGCCTGTGGTTGGGCCGGCACTGTGATCTCCTTGCTCCTGATGAGATTGCTGCCCTCCTTCTTTGCTACCTTTAGGGCAACTTGTAGCCTCCAGTACTATTAACAAAGTTTTTTTTTCAAACAAAATGTAAACATTCCTCAAAGAAAATTTACAGAGGGTTAATAACCTTATATAGCCTTTTTTAAGGAAAAATTTTTATTGTTCTTTAATTTTTTTTTCAAACTTTTTTAGCAGTTCACTATGAATTTAAGTATTGCAGGAACATTAGTAATGAATCACTTTCCAATCCTGGAGTCACTACTACAGACATGGACTGTCATTTATTTTTAATGGATGAAAGTAGTTAAAAAAATTTGTCATCACAAGCAAGCAGTAGTTAAAGTAGTAAATGCTACATGCTTTAAATCATCCAAACTGAAAACATTTAATCAGAGAGAGGTACCTTTTTAATGCATTAGATATCTATGCTATTTCTTAATTTTTTCCCAGTATTTTCAGCAGAAGGAGCAAATATTTCACAGATTAATTTTTTATTTTGTTTACCTTGCTTCTTCACACTTGCCCCAGTATTTTGAACTACCTCTAGTACACATGAAGAGCTGGAATCATGCTTTCTTTTCAATCTTTGAAGGTTACTTGAACATGGCAGAGTTGAATCTACAAACAAGAAGGAGAATTCTTTCAACAAGAAGCTACAGTATATATTCTGAAACCCAATTTCATCTTCAAGATTTAAACTTCTCCTTTTAATAATCTGCATGATGACCAAAATCACTAACAATGGGATCAGATTTATCATAATGATTCCCCTAATTGTTCAGCCAATTTCTAGTGTTTTGCAGGTTACTTGCTTTTGAATTAAATCCTTCATTCATTATAGGGGAGGATTATCTCAGAATAGGACTACAGCCGGATCTCGATTACTCAGACTCTGATGCACTTCTTTGGTCCCAATTTTTTCAGGAATATTAAGTAGTCACATTCAAGATCCATAACATATGACTTTTTCCCATGAAATAAAGCAGAATGTAATGAAACAATGTTGACACTATTCCATTATAGAATGACCGGTAGCAATTACACACCCACATTGTGACAGCTTGAAAGAAACTGATTTATTTCTGTTAGCAATTTTTAGCTATTGTTCATTGTTGTCAACCTTTAACCCTTTTGGAATACTTTTAGCATTTGTAAACAATGGCATGAAATGAGTTGAGAATGTTTATAACTTCTTGAAGTGTAATATTGATAAAATGATACATATTCAGTTTTATTTTTTGCCTCTGTCAATAATATTCATATTTGATTATCTGAACTCTTGCTTATCAGTACCATTGAACCCAGTCCAGAAAACAACGGTTCAACTGTAGTTGCATCTGGCACGTGCAAAAGACAAATAAAACAACACCAAACCATAATGCATATATATCAGCAATGTTCTTATTATGACAAAAAAATGTTTTAATATATAGTTATGAGTGATTATTTTGTTGGTCTGCTTTCATCTATATTTTTGCCCTGTTCTATGGTGTAATACAGTCAGAGGCATATTTCATGCATTCAGATGCCCTTATATGGTAAAATGGAGTAGTTGTGGAATTATATATTTGAAGATCAATGATTTCAGGTATTTTAGACACTGAAATTTTGCAAGTTACATAGTTTGTTTTCAAGCCCTGTTGGGGAGAGGAAAAATACAAGCAATGAGCAAAATGTCAGCTTGAATTTTAATTTAAACCATGTATAAGGGATTTATTTTCCCACTACTATCTAATTTTCCAGTATTTCAGCATTTGGTTTTCAAAAATACTTCTCATAGTGATTCGAGCAGCTCATTGATTTTATGAGGTACCCTGAAGTGTTCCTTGTGTCCATCGATTAAAATCCTCTCCACTTTAAACTTTGTTACTTCAGAGATTAAATTATAGCAACATATAAAAAATGGAGAAAATCAAAGTTTGGATTGATATGTGCAGCCCTTTTATCGCGCACTTTTTTGAAAATTTATATAGTGTGTAATGTTCTAACACATTTTGCTTGTTTAATTTATAATTGCCTTTATCTTGTAAAACAGTGTAATAATTGAATAATAATAATTACAGCCATTTTGTAGTCTACATACACATGTACATGTATTTGAGCTTACCCATTGGTTTAGGCGTGGGTGTCTGCAGTTGTTGTAGAGAACTATCAACTGGTGGAGACTCTGGTCTTTCATGGACTGATTCAGGAGTTCTCTAGTCAGAATGAAAATATATAACCTTGATAAACTAACAAATCTGTGCAATTACCTAATTATATAACTTTTATCTGGCCTCAATAGTTTACCTCTCCTTAGAGCTGTTAACTTTAAAATTTGAAAACACCAGTAACTCTCAGCCTTTCCATAAAATTCCAAGATATCCCCCAAACCAGTGTTGTATAAGAATGTTTTCTAGAATCACTCAGAAAAACTTATCCTTCTGAAAACTAAAATTTCTGGTTTAGTTGTCACATTAAATAGGGAGGAGATTTCTGCACCAATATATTAAAACTAAAAGTTTCTTTTGAAAGAAGTATGATTGGGCAGAACCTGCAAGGAACTAGCTCCTCAAGCTGAGGGAGTACTACTACTCCTTTCTATTTAATGCTTATGGCCCTGACTTGAGAGCAGACTTTTAAGCTAATTCTAATATACCATTAAAAGAAATACCATAATATTCTATCATGTAAAAAATATCATAGAATCACTCAGAAAATCTATATATATATGCACAGCGAGCTATAGAGCAAAGCATTTTTTAATTCAAACCTCAAAGAGTACATAAAGGGCAGAATTCCCCCTAATATGCTTGTTAATCTTGGTTCCATCCCACACTGTTCTTGGGCTGTAGTGGAACTCCAGTCTTGTTCCACGATTTGCAGCTGAGGCACAGCTTAATCTAAAAATTTGTGGTTATGATAAATACATTCATAAGAAAAACTAAAATCAGAAAAAAAACATCAATTATACAATAGTAGGTTGAAGTTAGTACAGGGCACCACTCCATCAGTGTAAGCTGCTATGGATATTGAACTGCTAGACTTAATTTGAACATTAACATACTACTAACAAACAGGGACTGTGCAGAAACCTGCCCTCTCCCCCCTCTCCTGAATGAAAAAAAAAACAATAATGGGTTTTTCAGTGACTCAGTACAGATTTTCTAACCTGATAATGCTTAACACCTATTAAAAAATAGGCATGTATTATCATATACACATATTGATCTGTACATATTGGGGTGTCTGGGATTCGTGTTTCAATGCCCCAATTTTTTTAACTTCAAAGTAACACTTTTGAGAAAAGTTTTCAATGTGGATGCTGCGTCTCAAGAAATAAGGAGATATTAAAAAATTCGGAAGACCCTTTGGGGATTCAATATATTTCCAACATTATCACCAAATTTCACAAAAACTGACCAAACACCAGCCAAAAATAAACTCTCCAAAGTCTAGAACTCGAGCCAAAACACTAAACAAGAAAAGTGACTTGAAATTTTTCAAGGCATCTGTATTTGTTCACAGAAATGGGCTTCCATGTCATGCCTGTAAAGGCTGTTAACCAATTACATTGAAGAAAGCCATTTATGGCTGTTTTGCTTGCCAAAACGGCGAAGAGGACTTGTAGCTTTTGGAAACGTTAACAGCTTGAAAACAACAATTGAATTACAAAAACAATCTCTCCATCTTCTGGAAAGAACTAATACCATTAGACTAGAAATTTTGGGACTGTGTGAAACTGTACAGTGCCTTGAAAATCTACAGTGGCTTTGAAATTATTAATTAAGTGACCAGAAAAAGTTGACATGAAGTGTCATCAATCTCATGCCTTCCGTTCTACCCTCAAATTACCTTTTGTTTTATATCTCTTAAGGTAATAAAGATACAAAAATAGAATTTTCAGGAGTTGATACATCTTTTTTTAATAAATATAACATTAAATTTTCAGGAAATTGAAAGAAAATAATTTTTTCTGTCTGTGATATCTTAAATACTTGTTACTTTAAATAACAATGAAAACAGGAACCGCATTAAAATTTGTAAAAAATCTGTTTGTCCATTATTTCAAAGGATAAATGGATTTCTCCAGATTCATATTTGGAAGGATCTAAATAATCTGGGAGAATTTCCCACAAATCTATCCCTTCTTCTTGCTGTATGGTTCCTTAATTTCCTTAACTCCCATGGGTGACCAAGACAGAATTTCTCTAGACAATATTGTGATCAGTACAATTTCAACCAGACATGTGATAAGAATGAGCAAAAATGTCAATAAGGGGATTACTAGTTGATCCAATACCAATTTTCCGTTCATACCCCATTCCCGCCTCGGAACCATTAAGCTGCATAAATATCTGACAGTCCATTACAATTTACCTTCCATAATTTCTTAAAATCGGGAATTGGCAGCGGAGCTCTTCCTCCACATTCTTTTCTGTCATGGTCCTGGTGAACTTAATATTCTTTTTAAATTGCTCTCGTTCGGGCTTCTTTAATCGAGCCATTTCTGTACCGTCCGGTAGGTAGACTTCACCGTTTTCTTTTCGCACATCACAGTCCAATAGCAACACAACATTTTTCAAGTTTGATATTTTCTTGGGTGTTGAGTCAGAGTTATTACTCATGTGCCTTTTAGGATCAGACTCGTCGCTACTTGACACATCTTCTACATGTACTTGTCGAAAGTTCTCCATCTTATTACTGCAAATTAAAATCCAAGATTTCACAAACCAACATAATTACAACTTCTCAACAGTAAGCTATGAAGAAATCTTTGACTTTTCGCAGTGTAGAAACCAACCCATATTCAAACTTTGCAAAAACAAACTGTGAATAACTCTTATTTTTTTAGTGAGGAGATAACATGCTAATCAACTTCCTTGAAACAAATTTCTCAGTGTATAGCTAGACACTATACTCACAGTATAATTATAACAACATCCTATGAAGATGAAAATATTTTGGCTAATCACTGCGTTCCACTGAGAAGATCTATCGATGAATACAATCACAAAAATACTAGGTGGTTTTTTAACTGATAAAAAACTCACTCGTACAAAATAAGTCAGCCTCTTACTTCCTTGATGTTCTGTTGCGTTCCATAGTTTGCGTCTAGCTCTCCGTTCAATGACATCGAACATTCCGATTTATCTTAAAGCGTGTTAGTCAAGCTTAGTGGCCCAAATGATGTTCTTTCCCCATGAATTAACCATTCAAATAATTGTTAAATATAATTCCTAACATAAATATTCACACATACACGCTCAAGGAATAAACAAGTGGATGCGCGCGCAGAAAATAGTGATTTTGATACAACGTTCGTGACCTGTGATACAGCCACGCACGTGATAATGTTATCGTCCAAATAAGCCTTATTCTCCCTACTCCAGATATTGATTTTGATCAATTTATAGTCGGGCATCACAGACAGATCGCGAGCAAAACTTGAGCTGCCCTAAAATCAGAGAAAGCATTTGAAAGTGCTTGTTGAAGTCGCGAAGAAAGAGAAGCACAATCCGTCAAGGACCGCTGATACAGCTAAGGTGTTTACTCGTTAGCATAAATTAGGAGGCTTTTGGGGTGGTGGGAACGTGGGGGAAGGTAAGTAAATAATTAAAAAAACGTTAATGCAAGGAGAATTCGAGCTGATAACAAATGCGTGCATATGCAAAACGAATAATCCAAGAAAAAATACATCATAGATGTTGCTAAAGATGAAAAAAAAAATACAAATCAAAAAAACAAAAAATGAAAAAGTCGAGCGTAAGGTTTCCCGAAAAAATTAAATAGAACTCATGTACGAAAGATATAAAACTTCACGTTTAGTCAATAAGTTCTCAAACTTAATGACCAGCCTCTGAGAAATAAATTTCCTAGGACAAGAAAATAGTCTTAGTATACACGCAGTCTACTCGCCTTGTTTCTCGCACGGGTTTCATGATTGCTCGGCGAAAACGAAACCGATCCCCGTTAATGAAGGTTTAGTTTACAAGAGTCTTTAGAAATGAGCAGACGGATTGATGTTCGCTCGCTGATACAACCTTTTTGACCTCTGTATAGGGTATGTATCAAAACATATTTGCATACCATTCTACCACTCGAGTAAACAGATTATTGGTTGATGATTGATACAACCTCTGCACAAGGTGTGTATCAAACTGAAATCTGCATGCACATGCAAACTGACATGCTTAGAAGCACCGCATTCTGCTGAGAAACTTTTTATCGATTCTTATTTTGTTTCAGAAATGCGTGTACTGGTCGATGAATAAATTTTCGAGATCGTAAATAGCACCGCAGTAAATACAGGCTTTTGTGACACCGAAAAAACCCTGGGCTAAGTTTCGATAAATAAACTCCGGATACACGTTAGAAAAACAGAATTGCAGCGGCGAAATAACCGGCCGTCAGGTACGGTCTTAAATGGACTAAATTTCGAAAATGTTCGGCTGCTGGGCATTTAGCCACTACATAGGTATTATTTGGCATACTTAATAAGTCCAAGAGATAAGAAATCTCGCCAAGACTACTTTGGTAGTTCAGTTAATAGTTAAGTTAACTTCACTTAAACACCTAAGTATGTGAAAAAAATATCTAAATATTTAAGTGACTAGAGCTCGAGTGATTATTAGGCGGATTTTGAAAAACTATTAATCCCACTCACCTTTTTCTACCCTTACTCTAGCGCTACTGACGGAGCTGACGTCGTTCGCTTCAAATCACGCGTGTATAACTGCCAGACAAGTAATGAATTTCATCCGGCACAATCTTGAAAGCGAGTTCTTAGTCTCTGATTCACGATTGTCGCAGCCAAATAAGGAATGATTACGGAAGTGGTCGCAGCAATACTTTTACGTAGATCTCTTATCTGAATTAGGAATAAACGAAGAAAAAAAAGTTTGACGCTACGCTGACATATTGACGTACTTAAAGCGTGCGTGACCTCTTTCCGTGCTTGCAACAATCACGAAATTATCGTACGACAAGAGGACTGATACGGTACATGATCTTACGCAAAAATAAGTTTCCTTTACTCACTTCTTTGCTGATATAACCCTTTTGACCTCTGTACAGGGTATGTATCGCGCTTTGTCAAAGAAGTGTTGTTTTACCCTAAGAACGAAGTAATGGCCTTCCCAAATTTAAATAAAACGAGACTTGAGTCAGCGATGTTCATGTTTACATTAAGTTTGAGGCGGTAATTTGATTTTAACAATATTGTCATGTGAGAACCCGTCAAATATCTGAGAATTAAATTGCGGACCGCAAATAGGTGGTGTAAAAAAACTCACAGGTAAAATGGATTTAGCACTACTGCTGGATAAGTGAATTTCATTGTTTAGTCAAGGTACTTTTCAGTTTTCAGTGCTATGTTTTCGTGCTTTCGTTCGAACTTCAGGAAATGGTTCGTCCCACATACAAAACGTGGAGCCACTTTCCCTTTGTTCAACATATTATGCATGATGAACATGCTTGCGATACGATAATTTTTTTCCTGATGCTGAAAACTGAAGAATCAATCTCTGAAATTGGTAGCCATCACATTTTACAAGAAGCGTCCGAGCTGTAATCGTGAAATTAAACGGTGTCCTGACAATTTGAGCTCACGAGCACGCTGGTAGGCACATGGCTAGCATAAATTATTGTTGTTTCCATTTTTCGACTTCAAGAGCCGTTTTTGAAAGTCCGTTTCTGTAACCTTTCTGGATATTTTCAGTCGAATTCATTAAGCAAAATCTCGGAATTTCATAAGTGATTATGAACGATAAATTCGTATCGGCACCTTAATTTAGGAAGGTTTTGTTAACACATCATCAGTTTACAGTTTGTGAACCGTTACTGTGACCTGCTTGGATATTTTCTTTTTAATTAATTGAGTTACACTCTCAGAATTTCATCATGTAATTAAGAACGATAAATCCGTATATGCAGCAAAAGTGAAGCGCATTTTAAACTTTCCATACGAGTTTAGGAAACTATACTTAATTGACTTTCGAAAAATTGGCCTAACTCGTTGATTATTTTATTATTTTGTAGCCCCTAAAGCCCGGCTTATGACTCTGAAGGTACTGAACTTGATATATTTGATACATAAGGCACCCTTCAAGGAGGAAGGTTAGAATAAAATTGCTTTTACGACCGTTTATTGCACCCGGTTTACATATGTAGATAATTGCGTAAAAAATAACTATTACAGCGGTATTCAGAAGCATAGATATGGTAAGGACTAAAACAAGGAACGACCTAAAACCACCTAAAACCACCTAAAACCACCTACAACCATCTACAACCACCTCAAAAATTTCAACAACCACCTACAACCACCTCAAAAACATCTACAACCACTTGCAAACTATCTAAAACCATCTAAAACAAGGCATAAATGTCTAAAATAAGGCGAAACAACATGTCACGTACACGAAATACGAGAATCGAACGAAACCTCTACCTCCCCCTGAAATCTTACTCTCCCTGGTCCCATGTATAATCAACCATCATACATAGGCGCGCGTATATATGGAAGTTTTTGTAATCATGATTCAAAGCATTTTCCATCTTAAGAGTCAGCGCCAACGCACTCCACGATTGTTATTCGAGGATTGTCGATTCATTTATTTGCATTCATTAATGAGGTCGGATTTTCTTCCCAGAAAAAAGGGCTATTGTGTTTATATGATAAACAAAATAATATATGGTTGCTTGTAGATATAGAATTTCTCTTCTCGTGTTCAACTCGACATCTCACTCGTTCAATGCGCTCACTCCTGAGCTATCGAGTAAAACACTCGAAGATTAATTCCATATCTACGCGCGCCCATGTATTATTCCCTATTTATTATTTTTTGTAACTTGTTAGTTCACTTTGTAAAGTTCTTTAAGTCTTTTGCTGAGGGAATATAAAATAATTAGCATGCTATCGCATTTCATTTCATGAGATGGCTGATTATACATGGGACCAGGCAGAGTAAGATTTCAGGGGGAGGTAGAGGTTTCGTTCGATTCTCGTATTTCGTGTGCGTGACATGTTGTCGTTTCGCCTTATTTTAGACATTTATGCCTTGTTTTAGATGGTTTTAGATAGTTTGCGAGTGGTTGTAGATGTTTTTGAGGTGGTTGTAGGTGGTTGTTGAAATTTTTGAGGTGGTTGTAGATGGTTGTAGGTGGTTTTAGGTCGTTCCTTGTTTTAGTACTTACCATAGACATATTGGTAATATGCTTCTGCTTTATTTTTACTGTGTGGAGTTTCTTTTTATGTAACATATATCCATTCCTTTAATTTCCTCCATAACTTGCCTGCAAATAATTAAATTTTATGTTTTGATTCAAGAGTGAGAAGATAAAAAGAAAGTGTTGCAGAGCTCTCTTTCCAGATTGAATTCAGGTAAGAACATCAGTAAACTAGTTGATGTCGTATGCTTCTCCTGAATCTTTAATTTTATTGCCCTGGTTTTTTCACAAAGCCCCTTTCATATCTCTGTGTGCCAGCTAATGATTAAAATCTCGGTGAAAAGATATGCCATATTTTAGTAGTATTCTCTTTTCAACCATGTAAAGAGATATTACACATTTCTTTAACTAAAATATGAATCATGAAGTCAACTTAATTTCGATGAGTTTGAAACTT